TTTGAGTTTCCTTATTTGCAATTATTAGGAAATTTTACTGAATTCCGCTAATTTCATTACAAACAGAACTATTTTGGCTCCAGTAAACTGGGCAGTGATGAAAAGAAATCTGTTTCTGCCGGTCTTTAAAATTTACAGCATGTATTTCTGCACCATTATTTATTGCAGGTTCTCCGAGTTGCTTGTGTTTTCAGTCAAAGGCTCAGTTTGTTTAATTTATTGCTTTCCACAGTTGGAAACTATAAAAACTACATTTTGAAAACAGAAAGTAAATAATAAATGCAACAAAGAAAAGTCCTAGAGCATGAAATAAAGACTGTCGTTGCGTTTGGTGTTTTTCCCTCAAATCAATGCCGGTTTTAAAGCAGCTTATCTTGTGTTGACAGTGTAACCAATTACTCCCATTTATGCAACTTTAGGCCTTCATGAGCTAATTCTCCCACATTTGATGGTTATTTTCCACATTAGCATTATTTAGAAAATATCAAATGTAAATATAAAAATCAGACGAAGAGGATTTTCTCTTTAAGTTTCTCCACCCTGTCCTTCAAGCTCGCGCGTTGACTCTTAAACATTAAAACAGCTACTGTTGAGTTTATGTAAAACTCATTAATGCAGAAACAAAATACAAAAGGAGAGCAAATTACCTCACAAAGAGTCTGTTTTTGCATGATTTGTATTTTTGATGGTCGTCTGTTTTCCCGGTTTGGCTCTGATTACTTTTCTGAAGATTGTAACAACAGAAGGTCATTACTGTCCCTCTGATGCAAATTAAACTTTTTTGTGTTTTATTTGAAAACCAGTAAAACATCTGATAATGGCATTAAATAGGACTGCACAATATACCGAAAAATTATCGTCATCGCGATAACAGGACGTGCGATAGGCCCATCGCAAAGCACGTCAAAAATGGCGATAAATGTTTGGTTCAAACATTTCCATCCGTGTCATACATCAACTTTTTGTAAACCAGCTCTGTTTTTTACGCGGAAGTATTATTTGACCAATCAAATGTAGCCCTTCTGATATGCGGCCAATCAGATGGGTCCATTCACGTAATACGCCCGCCCCCTACGTAAACCCTTAGGCTGGGTGGAACGCAACACCCGAACTGAGTTAGCGGCGCCGTTCCCTTGTTCGTCATGCTGGCTCAGACTAACGAACACACTTTGTGCTGAGGTTTCTGGAATCAGCGCTGCTTTCAAACGTGAGCGTGAGCCCGCTCGGTGTTGTTAAGCAGCTGATAATAACCGGGCTAACTCCGACACGTGCCGGTGAACCAACCCACCTTCATGTTGCTAGTGTTCCACCAGGTGGTGATGTTAGCCCCAGGCTCCGGTTAGCTTCCAGCTAAAAGGCTACAGCACTCTTCTCCCAGTCCCACCCTGAGCTGCTAAAGAGGGCCTGGAAAAGTTCCCCCACACATCAAAGTGATTTTTCCTTTATGAGCTTTTATAACCTTGTTAATCAGGATAGTTGATTTGCTCCTGCACATAAACGGTCAGCCAGAAGCTCTGCTAGCCGGTTATCTTAAGAGGAGCTAGTTCAATTTGTTAGCTTGTTATCAGAATCATAGTTGCAGTTTCATCATCTGAGCTGCTTTTTAAAATCTAAGTAAACTTGTTCAATTTGGGGTTAAAAACAAACGTTTTCACATATTTTCCATGTAGTTTTTTTTTTTTTTTTTTTGCCAAATTGTTTTTCTCTTTCCCTCAGAAAATCTTAATATTCTAGTTTGGCCCAGCACAGTTCACTTCCCAATTACAGCAACAGCCTTATATCATAACCACATAAATGGAGAAAATGTTCAGTAGCAATGAGAGGATTTGCTGTTGCATTTAAGTGATGTTAACTATTATTTAACATTTAAACTTACTTTCTGATTTTTTTATTTATTCAAAAAAAACCTGGTAAGGGATGTTTTTCTGTATTTGGAGCATCAGAAAATGTTTTATGGTGGAGGTGATGTTTTAAGGTCACTGAGAAACTGCATGCATGCAGTTTGTTGTTTTGCTGCTAATACAGTAGCAGGTGCAGCTGCATATTTTTGCAATAAAAATGTTATTTTGTAATGGAATTCATGCATTAGTTTTTGTTTGCTTTGACCCAGAGCAGACATCACATGCCAGACGACATCAACACTGCATACTCTCGTGCAGAAGACCTGGGTTTGATTCTGGATGTGACCATAGTTTATTTAGAGTTTATTTTTTACATTAATGGTACATTTTTTTACAGTAAGATGCCCAAATTTTTATCTGAGACTCGCCGAACGGCATTGAATTCACAGATAAAAAGATGTGGGTTCAACTTTCATTTTGGAACAATTTTTCAAGCAAGGGAAGGGAATGATCTGAGCATGCAGGAGGACTGACCCATCATAAACCTTTGTCGGCTGTGCTGAAGAGAAAGGTACAGAACCAAATTATTTATTTAGCTTCGCGTTCTCCTGTTCTCTGTCCTCCGGGACACGGACACACACACACACACACACACACACACACACACACACACACACACACACACACACACACACACACACACACACACACACGGGACTCTCTCAGCTGTTATTTTCGTTAAGGAGTGTACACGTACAGCATGCGCGCCTCGTGCACGAGCCTACTTTTGAAGCTGCCGTTACGCTTTTGGCCTGAGGGGGCAATCGGGAGCATAAAAATTCAATACTCCGTAAAGTCCCTTTAACATTCATGGACTCACCCATCTGGACTAGCGTCAGGGAAGGCTGTTGTTGGTTTAGCGTCCAGGAAACAGCAGAGCACATCTCAATTAGTAGAAGCTAACTGTTAGCATTAGCAACTCCACTAAATGCCAGAACTCCTCCAACTTGTGTTGTTTGCAGAGCTAAAACGTTGCAAGTCAGTGGTAGAGTTTTGTTGCTGTTATCCAGTCTGAGGCAAGATCAGGAAGTCCAAATCCTGCCGTCTGAAGCTCAGCTGTGATGTAGCTCACTGCTAGTTCCTGAAAATAGTGCACCAGTGCTTGATCTCGAGTAAAACTTACGAGGCAATCATTTCTCCCAGAAACCACTGCAAATGTTTTTAATAAACAAGTGTTTCACGCCTCGAAGTCATCACAGAGCTGTTTTCGCTGTTGTTTTAACTCTTAAAGTATAATATTTCCATTTTTTATCAACAACATGAGGTTCTTTGGTCAAATACGGCTACACATCCAAATCATTACAACTTCAAACATTGGATGTAGCCTTGAATATCAAATTCTGTGCATCTGTGCTGTTTGTGAAAACGGGCACTAATGATTTGGTCAAAAATAAAGATTTTTTTTTAGCCAATGAGAAATAGTTCAGTGGTAGCCCAAAAGTTTATTTATCCTTCCTGTCAAAGAGCTGCAAATCTTCAAATGAATCCAGATTTAGTTAAAGCGCCGTGTGTGTCCAATCATCTCTGGCAGAAATGAACAGTTTGTCCCTTTGGCTAAACCTTTATTTCCAACCTGACGTCCCTAAACAACAGGACGTTTGTTATTCCTTAATTCAAAAGTTGACGCACTCTCACTTGAACAAAGAGATTCTAATTTGGCATTTGGACATAATCTCAAAAAGAAACAATGAGTTGTGTTGTCTACTTGTGACACATGAGAACATTTAAGCTCGAGACTCGCATGAAGAAAGTTGGGAATAAAAATGTAAACGAGCTGTTGGGTTGCATTAGTGTTGATTAATACTTTAGGTTTATTATTTGCAGTTTGCATGAAATAAAGAACAGTTCACGCTGTCTTTGTTGAAGTTTAACGATAGGGAATGAAATTGAATGGCAAACTACTGAAAAGGCGACACACCCGTTGAGATCAATTATTTTAGAAGCTGTTTCGTTGCAGGTAAAAATACGATTTCATCAGTGGCTGTTAAAAAAGAGATTATATTCTACAGAGAATATGCTCTAAAAGTCAGAGTGGTTTATGCATCGATCCATCCATTATCATCCACTTATCCGGGGTCGGGTCACGAGGGCAGCAGCCTAAGCAGAGAGGCCCAGACTTCCCTCTCCCCCAGCCACTTGGGCTGGCTCCTCCGGGAGAACCCCAAGGCGTTCCAGCTGAGAGACATAGTCCCTCCAGCGTGTCCTGGGTCTTCTTTTGGGTCTCCTCCTCTTTGGACGTGCCCGGAAAGTCTCACCAGTGAGGCATCTGGGAGGCATCCTAACCAGATCCACCTCAACTGGCCCCTCTTGATGTGGAGGAGCAGCGGGTCTACTCCGAGCCTCTCTTGGATGCCCGAGCTTCTCATCCTATCTCTAAGGAAGAACCCAGACACCCTGCGGAGAACATTCATTTTAGTCGCTTGTATCTGCGATCTCATTGTTTCTGTCACTACCCAAAGCTCGTGACCATAGGTGAAGGTAGGACCGTCGATCGACCGATAAATCGAGAGCTTTGACTTCCGGCTCAGCTCTCTCTTGACCACGGCAAATCGATACAACGCCCACATCACTGCAGACGCAGCACCAATCCGCTTATCGATCTTGCGCTCCAGCCTTCCCTCACTCGTAAACAAGACCCTGAGGTACTTACACTCCTCCACTTGAGGCAGAACCTCATCCCAGACCTGGAGAAGGCATTCCGCCATTTTCCGACTCAAAACCACGTTCTCGGATTTAGATGAGCTGACTCTCAAAGTGGTTCACTCACGATTCCTCATCATAACCACAGTTATACGTAACACGTTTTATAAATTAAACTTTTGCAAGTTCTTTTTTAAATAACAAGCTAACTACAGGTTTAAATGACATATTTGTGTCATTTAAACCTGAAAAAAGATGGTCTCAGATCTCAGTAATGTTCATTTCTTTATTTTTCAAATTTCAAGTCATCCATATGTCTTTATTTAGTTGAGATTTGTTCCTTTTTCTGCTTTTAGAGATTCTAGACAAACTTGACCTGTGACCTGTTGATTAGTTCAGCTGTTTCTGAAGGTCAACTTCAGACTTCGTTTTTTTAGGGGGGGGGGGGGGGGGCATTGCGTTCGACCTCCTAATTGCATCATCAGCTGCTCTGTTTCTCCTTTTGTTCCCCGGCATCTCAGTTCAACGCTGTTGAATTCCTTCAATTACTCCCCGTCTAGACTGAACTATGGATTCCCTTTAGCCACAGGTGAAGTCAAACCCACCCCACACCTGTCTCCGACTTCCACGCTTCCCAGCCGGTTCACCTGGGTGGTCCCTGGTAGCTATTTATATTACTCATGAATAAAATGCAGGCATTAAATCAAATGCAGAAACTAATTTGGCCCAACAATCAAATCAACTAAATCAAAATGAACAGTGAACATTGACCTTTTCTTTATTTTGCAGCGTTTTTTGGTTGATGAGCTGAAAAGTATTAAGTTTTATGGCCAAGCAGAGACACTAGTCTGAAAGATTAATCAAAGGCATTATTATTATTTCAAAAACGATTTAGTCTGAGTGGAAGCTCCATTTTTTTTATTAAATAACTTGGTTCCATTCCAGGAACGATTGATGAGCAACTCTGGTGAAAGTTCTGTAACCCAGCCAGCGTCCTCGACACTCTCTGCCTGGGCTTAATCATCAGCCTGTTTTACATCAAAGCGAGCCTTGGCGAACCTCCCACCCATATTTGTTACACCTTAGCCTTAAATATCAGCTTCTGCGTCTCTGCCAGTTGAAGGGAATTAATATGCATTAAAGCTAAGTGCTGAGGTTTAGAGGAGGAGACCTGACTTTTTGTGCAGCGTGCCGTAGAGGGAGTGGGCTGTGAGTTACGAGGGATGGGACTGATTCTGACACTTTGAGGCAGCCCTTATTCAATGTGCACCTTTTGTCACCGTTCACCAGCCATGTCTTTTATATCCGTCATGCACAGGATTCCATAACTCCATTAGCAACACCCCCACAACAAACACAAGCCAGTCCTCCCCTGGAAAACACCCGCATGTTGTGCACTGCTTGCACCTTTTTCACTACAATTGCTTCCCATCTGTTGTCCCTATTGTGGTGTTCTAATGTTTAGTCATAAAATTGTGATTTAGGCTCTTTGCATTATTCTGAATTGGCATTCAGGAAATACTGTTTTTTTTTCTTTTCCTGAACAAACTGAGAATAGTTGCGGTCACTTTGTATGCATTTGCGTCCAACAGGTGAGTTTCCTGAATATCTTTGACACGTCTCTGAAGAACGTCACAGGCTACATGACAGATTGAAGACCAAGGCTTTTGGCCAATCCGTCAATCTGTTCAAATGAGAAAAATACCGTTTCACACACACAAACATGCACATCTGGAGAAAGAAAAGCCACCCTCGTTGCAGACATCTGGTAGAGTGGAGGAAACGGTCTGTTGTGTTCCTGGAGCCCCCCGAGGAGTCGCCGTGTGGAACTCAGACTCGTTCTGGCCACCGAGGTCCTTAAAGGACACCAGTGGCCAGGTGCCAGGGAGACAGTTTGGCGCCTAATTCATCACCGAGCCTTCCTGAGTGACACGCTGGAATGACAGTGTTCAGCACATGGCCGTTTCTCTTCCTCTTTCTCTCTACATCTCCATCTAATTAACAGAGCTTTTAAATCCCAACATGGCAACCTCTTAATGAGCCAGACCCAATAAAATCACAGCTGAAATGTATTTCTTCCACGCCGGCTTTTGTAAGGCACCTCCCATCTTTTTGTGACAGGAAATCCGATTTTTCTCCGGAGTAATCATTAAACCTCCACGTTTTCTTCTCCATCCTTACTTTGATCGGTTTTCTCGTGGCCTCTCCGGTCCTCCATCTGCTGGAAGATAAATAGGCCAAAGTACAGCAGTCACTCTGTCAGTTCTTGAAGGCTGATCAAAGCGGCGAGACACAACCTGTCCCATCCCCAACCTGTCGCATCCACAACACAATTTAGCTGCGAGGAGGAGAGGATTCAGACGTCTCAGTTTTTCACTCTGTCACTGAGCTGATGAATAAAAACCACTGAGAGGGAAGCAGTAAAGCTCAGGCTGTGGATTTGTTTTTCTGTGGAATTGTAAAAAAAAAAAAAAAAAAAAAAGATGAAACCATGAAGCGTGCCGGATGGGTTTTGCCGTGATTTATTTATGCTGACTCGCTCTCATGTCTGTATGGAGATGTTCTGGTTTTGGGGTGACGAGCACAGATCTCCACTTTAAACAATTAAAGACCCTACCTGGACATTCCTCACCAAACTCCATCACTTCTGCCCTCACCTGGTCTAAATAATGCCCCTTTTAGAGACATTAAAAAGCAACAAAAGTTGACGGGCAGCACATAAAAGCGCCCCATGTGTCTTGTATCACTTTTTTGTGCTCGAGAGTCTCTTACTAAATGTGGTTTTCTCGGGTTCTTTGACTTTATACCAGTAAACCCAGTTTGTACAGAAAGGCTTTCAGCCTCCTGGTAGTTCCACTCGAGGGCTTAAAGACTGCGACTTTATCCATTTCCTTTGAGATGACAGACTTTTTATGTGCTCAGAAAATCTCTCGGAGGTGTCCGAGGGGTGTTGTGTACCCTACTGCTCGACAAAGGACATGTGTTAACTGTGTTTTCTTCTTCTTCTTTCTTGTTCTTCTCAAGTGCTGCTTCTCTGTGAGCCCACTTCCTACGCTACATCCCCTTGGTTTATTATGTTTTGCCTGAAGACTTTGCTGAATTCCGGTCCATAAATCCGTCGGTTTTGCCCGAGTGTGCACTTCATTTTTCAGGTTCTCCAGTGTCTGCTTAAACAGTGCAGAGTGGATGTCTTACAGCTGGTGCTGGCATGATTTCCTGCCTATAGGCTGGTCTGAAGAAGAGGATGAAGCATTGACAGAGGACAGAGGTTGCGCGTCTCGCCTGTGATTAATGGTAATCCCAACACCACGGGGTTCAGAGAAGAACTCCAAGAGGGAACTGCACAACAATTGAAAGCAAATGGAAGATGTGTGAACAGACACATTTTAACACAAGTAGGGTATTCACTAAGAGACAAATAGAGTCCCCATTAGGACTTATTTTCATGTCATGATTATTGGGACAAAACCATGGACTTTAGAAATGTGACATTTCTGCAGCAGGTTAATGTTATTCTTAACTTCCATCCGCTTTCCGCTGCATAGCCAAGGTCCCGTCTAGGAGGTGGTAGGTTAAAGGGACTTTTCGGACTTTTGAATTTTTATGCTCGTGATTGCCCCCTCAGGCCAAAAGCATAATGGCAGCTTCAATAGTAGGCTCGTGCATGAGGCGCGCATGCTGCACGTGCACACTCCTTAATGAAAATAACAGCTGAGACAGTCCCGTGTGTGTGTGTGTGTGTGTGTGTGTGTGTGTGTGTGTGTGTGTGTGTGTGTGTGTGTGTGTGTGTGTGTGTGTGTGTGTGTGTGTGTGTGTGTGTGTGTGTGTGTGTGTGTGTGTGTGTGTGTGTGTGTGGGTGGGTGTGTGTGTGGGTGTGTGTGTGTGGCCCGGAGGACAGAGGACAGGAGAACGTGCAGCTAATTAATTAAATAATTTGGTTCTGTACCTTTCTCTTCAGCACAGCCGACAAAGGTTTATGATGGGTCAGTCCTCCTGCATGCTCAGATCATTCCCTTCCCTTGCTTGAAAAATTGTTCCAAAATGAAAGTTGAACCCACATCTTTTTATCTGTGAATTCAATGCCGTTCGGTGAGTCTCAAATAAAAATTTGGGCAAAAAGCAACAGTGAGATCCTGAGGTTCCCAAACCAAACTCATTTCTCTACATTTGAACTTTGAAGTCTTGTGAATGAATGATGGAAACCGAATTAGAGGCCAGGTGAAGTCCAACTTAGGAAAAAGCTCCGTTGCTCAAGCTTTTCTCGACTTTTAACTGACTAAGGAGAGTATTTACCCTTGGAAGAGAGATGTGAAGCAGAGTAGCGAGTATAACTACATTGTTATTCTAGAACAAAACCAAACAAACAAGGTCGAAACAGAAACTGTGCCGGTTTGGATTGGACTGAACTTTTTCTGGTTAAAATCCAATTTAGCTTAATTCTCCAGAAACATATTCCATGTAGATCATTCTGTAATCTTAAAGGCAATGGCCAGATTTCATGAGCTGCAGGATTTAATTTGAAGCTGCAATTCAATAGAAACTTTCTCAGATGGGAGTTTCCAGTTATATGTGAAATCTAGAATATTGCTCTAAGCTTTGAAAACAAACACAGGCAGCTAATTATAATAATGACCTGTGCAAATTAACGCCAGGTCATAAACAAGAAGAGCGTCTGATAATCAGACGAGGGTAGTTAAACCACAATATTGGTGCAGCTTGTTTTATATTCAATTCAATTCAAGTTTATTTATGTAGCGCCAAATCACGACAAGAGTCGTCTCAAGGCACTTCACGTGGTAAACATTCAATACAGGTCGGTTCATTAAGCCAATCAGAACAAAGTTCCTATAAAAGGAACCCAGCAAATTGCATCAGGTCACTGACTGGTGTTAGTGACTTTACAGCAATGTACAAACATCTTCAACGTAGACTTGTTTTACCAAGAAGAGAATTTAATACAAATCTGAGCAATGTTTGTTTGGTTGCATGTTTAAAAAGCTGCTATAAATAAACCCTAATTTCACCTAGATATCATAAAGCTTTAGTCTTCAATTACCTCTATTGAAATTACTTGTTGGCTTTCATGCTTCAGGACCATGGAAAGCGTGTTTAAATGAGGCCATTACTGAGTCATTAAACCCTAACATGCAGCAATAACAAGAAAAAGGCAAATAAATTTAGTTTATCTAACAACCATCTCGCTTTAATCTCAGCGCAGCTCCAGTTTCTGTAAAAGAGCCGGCGTTCTTTAAGATGGATGTATTTCAGCACATGGATTCTGGGTATTGAAATCACCCCACGAGCTCCTGCAGAGCCCCCCTGGCAAATTGGAAACATTATACACTCCTGTACTCCATTTGGACCAGAACAGTGCAGGCAACATGCAGACTGTGAAATGTTATCTACAGAAACCATTATAGTTTGCTCAAGATTGAGGAGTAAAAAAGTGAAGTAATACCAGATGGTTCTGGAGAAAGTCACAAGCAGTAAAATGTTTGAATTGAATTTCCTTCCATCCACCCATCCATTTTCCTCTACTTGTCCAGAGTCGGCTCAGGCCAGCTCCTCCGGGGGAAATCCTTAAGTGTTCCCTGGCCAAGAGACTTACGCCGGGGACACACCGGCCGCCGAAGCGCCGCGAAACGGGGACCGCCTTCGTTCGGCGCCCTTGTTTTCCTATTCTATAGGTCACATGGGCCGCCGAAGCGCTGCGCCGGCGCTCCAGCCCGCGCCGTGCAGCGATCGTTTCGGTGTCGGCTCTATTTTTTTCGCGAGCCGCGGGTGAACCGCGCCAATTCTGACAGGAAGTCAAACCTAGACATAAGAGGCAGGCTGGTAAATTTAACAAAATAAAGCATTTCAAAATACAATTCCGCCATAGTCAAATGTGTTCATAAACAGACACTGCATAAAAACCACACACACACACACACACACACACACACACACACACACACACACACACACACACACACACACACACACACACACACACACACACACACACACACACAGCAAACTTGTGTGTGTGTGAGACCACGTGAAGGGGGTGTGGTTTGGGGTGTCTTTCAACCGGAGCAAACAGGACAGAGAGGCAGAAAGTCGTAGGCCAGCTATTAACAGCTAGCCTGGCAAGCCAGACTAAATAAATGTATTATTTAGTCTGGCAGCGCTCCATTGACGGCTCTCGGTTGTGGGGCGGGTTCTACCGTTGTCTTTCAAACGATCTCCGCATGCCACTGGACAATGAATGTGACATACTCTTGTTTCACTCTGTTGCATCATCCCACCCACCAGGCGTATAGAGTGCCCCGATTGGCCCACAAAGCGGATAAAGCTCTGTGATTTGTTCACTAAGCAGATAGAGCACTATGATTGGCGCACCATTATAGACCAATCACAGCTCTTTATGTGTTTGAAACCCCTCTAGAGAGCTGTGATTGGCTAGCCAGAATGCTGTTGGGGCTGCAGAGGTTCCAGTGGAGCGTTCCTAGACCAAACTTTGCTAAGCAAGACTTTGGTCTAGTTCACTAGGCTAATTAACAACTGGTTCACACCATAGGTTCACACACACACACACGCGTACAAACACACACAAACAGCAAGGGGGAGGGGGGTGTAGAGGAAAAGAGCAGAGAAAAGGCAGAGAGGAAATGGAGGACACCAAGTGGTTAAAAGAAAAACTACAGCTGAGCCGAGGCGCGCCTCGACCGCACCGGAGAAACAAGCGTCTGGTCTGAACTGAGGAGCAGCGGCCGAATTTCATGAGCGCTTTGCCTCCCGGCACTTCGCGGCGCTTCGGCGGCCGGTGTGTCCCCAGCGTCAGTCCCTCTAGCGTGTCCTGGGTCTTCCTTTAGGTCTCCTCCCAGTGCTCCGAAAACCTCACCAGGGAGGCGTCCAGGAGGCATCCTAACTAGATTCCCGAGCCACCTCAGCTGGCTCGTCTCGATGTGGAGGAGCAGCGGGTCTACTCTGGGCCTCTCTCCGATAGCCGAGCTTCTCACCCCATCTCTAAGGGAGATCCCAGCCAGCCTGCAGAGAAAACTCATTTTGGCCGCTTGTACCTGCGATCTCATTCTTTTGCTCACCACTCAAAACTCACGACTCTCTACAACGCCCGCATCACTGCAGACGCAACGCCAAGCCGCCCTTCAGTCTCACGCTTCATCTTTCCCTCACTCGTGAACAAGACCCTGAGATAATTAAACTCCTCCACGTGAGGCAGGACCTCGTCCCTCACCTGTAGGAGGCATTCTACCCTAGACCATGGTCTTGGGTCATTCCATACAACTAATTTCCCTCTGGGATGAATAAAGTATCTTTGAATTTGAACTAGAACAGTTAATGCGCCAATAACAACATAAGACACAGCTAGCATTACATTTGGGTAAAGTCCAGGATTTCTGTGCAACATCGGATAAAATACTTTCTACTGTCCATTTTCTGTTCTGCCCATGCATGCTCGTCATAGGGAGGGTTATTGAATTCATGTAGCCGAGGAGTTTGTTTGAAATGCAGTGCGTTCATCCCTGCAAAAACAGAACTACTAAGAATAAAAGCATTGTCGATGAAAAAGTGATAACTTTGAGTCGTCCTGTCCCTCTAACACTTAGCCCATGCCCTATAGTGCTTTTGCAAAACAGTGCAAAAGGTCTTTTTATAGCAACTGTGCAGTCGTCGCTCAACATGTACAGAGCATTAAAAAGCAGACCTACGGGACTGCTTTAGACTATTATATGTGTGTTTGGCATTCTGCAGTGGAGCTTTGTCCTCTGCCCTGCAGTGGAATAGAAGTATATCCCAACCATGTTTGCTAATTATGTTTTCCAAGCACATATTTCATCTGCTGCTCAGTGTTCCCTGCCTGCACTTATCATACCCCCATCCTCCATCCTCATACCCCGCTTACATTTTCCGATGTGCAACCAGCTTGTCTTTTACCTAATTCAAAATGGTGGAAGTGAATTTAAATAGTGCTGTTATCAGAATTAAACCCGGCGTGGCATTACTTATTATGTGATGGACTTCCTCAAAATTACCATAACGTGCTTATAAACCTTTCCTCTACTTGATTTGTAAGATTTTCTTTTGTCATTCATTTGAAATCTCTTCATCTTGCAGCTTCCTATTCACTCACCATGTCGTGTTCTGCCGGGGAGGAGCGAGATGCATCATCTTGTCTCGTGGTTTCACTTCAAAGCATTTTATTCATTTAATTAAAAACTGTCAGCATGTTTGCTTCTTCAGCTGGAAAGGAGATCAGTCGTTGCCCAAATGTTTCAGAATTTATTTTATTGACATCTGAGGCACCGTTTGAAGTCTTGACATGTAGAAAACCGTTTCTGTGAACTCCACCAACTGGTTATGATACGCCATTGTCACCGCTGAGATGGATTATGCCGGGTCACGGCTGACACCTCAGCAGCACTCGCTCACTTTCCAACCCCCTGTGCTCAGGAGTCTATGGCGGATGCGTTTCCAGGAATATTTGTGTGTCTGGGTTGACAGGTGCACAGCTGCACACCTCTGGAGCGGGTGCTGCCCGGCCAGATGCTGTAGCATGTCTGTGCATTTGCAAGTGGTTGGAAATTTTTTTGGCAAAGTGGACACTGCAGATGCCTCTGATTGCATGGTGAGTCAAGTCGGAATTTCCTCCTGGATTAGGGCAGAGGATCAGCAGTTAGAGCCCACTGGGCCAAGTTGTCGCACTTTGGCTGTGAACACAAGCAAACTTTGGAGCAGAAAGGCGCACAAACACTGAAACGCATAAGAGACGCATGCCAGAGCCAACTAAAATAGATCAAATTCAAACCCCTGGAGATGATTGGAGATGATGAGAGTCTATCTACTGGCTGAGGTGATAATCTTCCTTTCTTACTCTCTGGAGACACAACTTTTTATTGTGCATTAGATTAATGATTGTTAAAGCATTAACTCGTTCACTGCCAGTCGTTTCCTGATCACAAAAGCCCTTCGCTGCCAGCATTTTTCAGCATTTTCACTTTTTTTTAAGAGTTACAGAATGTCGCACGCTAGGATGATGTCGACGCCAAAACTACCAAAACCAATTATCCGTTCTTTCATAATCCATTGTCGAATTGTGGTCGGCAGAAGCTTTTTCAGTTCGTGCCTCACTTTTTTTTACAGCAGCGGCCCAAAACGATCCTCTAACACGTGGATTTTCTGCTTTCTGATCATGTGACGTGTGACGTACGTGGATGAAGATCGGCTTTAGAGCCGAGATGTTTGTTCTCATGGTGCTGGGACTCGTTCCGACGCCCATACATTAAATGCAAATGACAAATTTAGTCGTCAATGGCAGTGAAGGAGTTAAGGGCCAGTGATGAAAGGATGAAGCAGTCATCTTTGTCAGTTGGAGTAAAACAAAAAAAAAAGGTCACTGAGATACTTTCTACATTCTGGAAGTTTCTGTAAAAACTTTTTTTTAACCCTTTAACTGGAGGGTCAGCAGCTACTTTCTCCACTACTAAAAGAAACCAATAAAAACAATCTAAAAAATATGGAAAAGTTTGAAAAAAAGTTTTTATATTAAGGGAAACCTAAAATTATAACTTATTTTACATTTTATTACAACTCATTAATCAATTAATCATTTGTCATTATTTGTAATAGACAAAGAGTTTATTTAAAGTGAGGATCAATGCATGGGTGGAGACGTATTTCATCCTCACTTCCTGTAAGAAAAACGCTTCTGAAAGAGGCGTCGCCGGGCGGACCGAGAGAGCGGCACTGAGGCAGTGGTGGACCCCCCCCCCCCCCCCCCACACACACACACACACACACGTGTGCTGTCAGAGTTTCTCAGTCTAAAATACAAGTTGTTAAGGAGCGCGTGCGCACTCGCGTGTGCACGCACTCACACAAGACTTACCGCTCAGGAGAAAAGCAAACAGCTTCTGCAGCATTCTGGAGGATTTCCTGTTAATCCCGATCATTAGATGAAAAAGGGAAGGAGGACATTTTTTGTCAGGTGAGAGGCTCAGAGAGCTGATGTGTCAAATCAGCAGGTGAGTGGCTGAGCCAGGTGGAGGTGCGGCTGCCTCACCTGGAGACCAGTGCAGTGCAGCCACGTAGTACTTTGCTGCTAATGTCACGTTTTTCAGCTTAGCCATCAGCCACAGCTGGCTCTGAATAAATGTGGAGTAGAGTTTAACCTGAAGATGGAGATATAATTATGGTTTTGGGCTGAAATAATAAATTTAAAGTTGCACTAAACTGCCGCACTAATGATTACATCTATACAAGTTATCAGCAAAAAGTACATTTAGGCCTTACTTGCTCTTTCAATTTTTTTTTTGTTTCAGACTTTTCCAGCTTTATGATAAATAATACCGATTTATTGGTGCTGATGCTGTCGGGAAAAAAAAAGAAAACAAGTAGCATTGATGCTGCTTTAAAATCGCTGGTTTTAAACTCTCAAAGCTGAAAAATGTGATGGACATCTCTCCATAGTTCATCGCTTATGTTGCTTTGTGCTCCTTCAGAGCATCTTAAAATGTATGCTTCATCTGGTCAATAAACACCACGTTTTACATCCCACAGCTGCTTGTCCGCTTCCTCTAATGAATGAAATAACAGCATACTTTGACAATTAAAAACTTTTGATTCTATTAATGTCCATGGACACCTTTTGTGATGTCACTCGATACGCTGACGTCTTGGCAAAGTCCTGAGAAGGATGTATGTGGACACAATGGCTGAGAGGACTGAGCCATTTTGTTTTCCACCCTCCCAGAAATTTCCCAGAACTCTTATAGTGGAAACACGGCTATTGACCATCTTGTCTGCTCGGAAGCAAAATGTTGGCACAATTGTCTGCATTATCTCTACACCAGAACCAAAAAGGTCAGTGACCAGCGATTGATTATGCTGTCTGCCGTGTATTATATCGACTTTTACCACCGATGTTACATGGAGGTCCTTGTTTGCTCAACACCTAATAATTATGTGCACGTTGGTGGAAGTGTCATGGGGATATGTTCCCCCTGGGTTCAGACAGAGTCTGCCTTGAAGTGGAGAAGTTTTGATACTTCAGTGGTTTGTTCACAAGAGACGGGAGGATGGAGCGGTAAATGGCCTGTATTTGATATGGCACCTTCTAGAGTCCTAGAACCCCCACCAAGCCAGTTTACAACACGATTTCAAATCAATTCAATTCAAATTCAAAGGTACTTTATTAATCCCAGAGGGAAATTAGAGTTCCAGTACACACAATTCAGAGATCAGACATACATACATACATAGGCAAAGACACGTGACAAGAATTGGTGACTGTGGTCATTCGCAATCCTGAGTCACGCTACCTTAATAGAGATCAGAGGGTTACATGAGGATTGGTTCAGGTGGAGGGAAAAAAGGCACTTCAGAGTTACCCTCCACAGAGAGGGCAGCTTTGCTATGCAAACAACCACCTCAGATAGAAATGCAACAGACTTCAGGCATCACACAACATAAGTGTCCACTAGGTGGGGTGGTGGGTTTGGAACTCTCCACACGTCAGTTCCTGCAGCCACGATAAGCAGCGCACGTCACCTCAGTCTGGACAGGGGAAGGAGGTCGTTGAGGTTTGAAGGGCACAGTGACTCCTGGAACGATTCGGCGGGCTTCACAGCCCGCAGTCCTGCCCAGGCTGGGATAGGCTCCTCCCCCTACCCTCACTTTAAATTTACTGATCTGTATATGTTCAAACTGTCATCTATGGCCACAAGATATGACTGACTGTTAAGATGGCCACTTACATATTCTCGGATATAAGAGGCTCAGGAGGAGTCATTTGAAGTGGTTTTGGCATCTGACATTTGATTAGGATGCCTCCTGATTGCTTTCCTCTTGAGGCTTTCCGAGTAGTGGCGGAATACCTAAAACTTCCAGTAGGGATTACATATCCTTTCTGATCTGAAAACACACTGGAGATCCTCCAGGAGGAGCTGGATATACAGGTGCTGGCCAGTAAATTAGAATATCATCAAAAGGTTGAAAATATTTCAGTAATTCCATTCAAAACGTGAAACTTGTACATTATATTCATGCAATGCACACAGACCAATGTATTTCCGATGTTTATTACGTTTAATTTTGATATTTATAGGTGACAACCAATGAAAACATCAAATCTGGTATCTCAGAAAATTAGAATATTCTAAAGGCCAATGAAAAAATGTTTGTTTCTCTAATGTTGGCCAACTGAAAAGAATGAACATGAAAAGAATGTGCATGTATAGCACTCAATACTTAGTCGGGGCTCCTTTTGCCTCAATAACTGCAGTAATGCGGCGTGGCATGGACTCGATCAGTCTGTGGCACTGCTCAGGTGTTATGAGAGCCCAGGTTGCTCTGATAGTCGTCTTCAGCTCCTCTGCATTGTTGGGTCTAGCGTATTGCATCCTCCGCTTCACAATACCCCATAGATTTTCTATGGGGTTAAGGTCAGGCGAGTTTGCTGGCCAATCAAGGACAGGGATACCATGGTCCTTGAACCAGGTGCTGGTGGTTTTGGCACTGTGTGCAGGTGCCAAGTCCTGTTGAAAGGTGAAGTCTGCATCCCCATGAAGTTGGTCAGCAGCAGGAAGCATGAAGTGCTCTAAAACTTCCTGGTAGACGGCTGCATTGACCCTGGACCTCAGGAAACAGAGTGGGCCAACACCGGCAGATGACATGGCACCCCACACCATCACTGACGGTGGAAACTTTACACTGGACCTCATGCAACGTGGATTCTGTGCTTCTCCGCTCTTCCTCCAGACTCTGGGTCCTTGATTTCCAAAGGAAATGCAGAACTTGCTTTCATCAGGAAACATAACTTTGGACCACTCAGCATCAGTCCAGTCCTTTTTGTCCTTGGCCCAGGCGAGACGCTTCTTGCGCTGTTTCTTGTTCAAGAGTGGCTTGACACACGGAATGCGACACCTGAATCCCATGTCTTTCATGAGTCTCCTCGTGGTGGTTCTTGAAGCGCTGACTCCAGCTGCAGTCCACTCTTTGTGGATCTCCCCCACATTTTTGAATGGGTTTGTCGTCACAATTCTCTGCAGGGTGCGGTTATCCCTAGAGCTTGTACACTTTTTTCTACCACATTTTTTCCGTCCCTTCGCCTGTCTGTTAATGTGCTTGGACACAGAGCTCTGCGAACAGCCAGCTTCTTTAGCAATCACCTTTTGTGTCTTGCCCTCCTTGTGCAAGGTGTCAATGATTGTCTTTTGGACAGCTGTTAAGTCAGAAGTCTTCCCCATGATTGTGGTGCCTTCAAAACAAGACTGAGGGACCTTTTAAAGGCCTTTGCAGGTGTTTTGAGTAAATCAGCTGATTAGAGTGGCAGCAGGTGTCTTCTATATTCAGCCTTTTCAGAATATTCTAATTTTTTGAGATACCAAATTTGGAGTTTTCATTAGTTGTCACTTATGAATATCAAATTTAAATGTAATGAACATTGGAAATACATTGGTCTGTGTGCATTGCATGAATATAATGTACAAGTTTCACGTTTTGAATGGAATTACTGAAATATTTTCAACCTTTTGATGGTATTCTAATTTACTGGCCAGCACCTGTATAGGGCTGGAGAGAGAGCAATGACTGTGTCTCTCTTGGATCACCATAGGTAGAAGACTGTTGGATAGATGGACTGATGAACGAACACCGTGGTTGCACTAAACCAGGGGTGTCGAACATGCGGGCCGGATCTGGCCCGCAAGCGGGTTAAATCTGGCCCGCGAGATGGTTGTGTAAACTTTATTTTCATACTTTACAATGTAGAGTGAAAATAAACTTATCTTTGTGAGCAAGTTTCCTCTGTAATGAGTATAAATGAAACAAAGCTGCGCTCAAGGCTCACACAAGAACTTGAATCACATCTTGAAGATGGCCGCCACTCAGGATGTGACTTCTGATATTGATGTTCTGGTGACAGCTAAAAGATGTGAAGTAAAATGAGTTAAATATACTTTAAGTGCTGCATGAAACTGATCTAGCCATGTGATCTGTAAGCTCTTTGAATCACTAAGGAATGTTCTTTTATTTATTTATTTTTTTAATTTTTTTTTTTCAAATTTTCAAGTACACTTCAGGTGTTGTACTTGTACTACACTGTCCTCAGGCTCCAGCCTTGTTTTATGTTGATTGTATTAAAACAAAGACAACAATCTGAAGTTTTTTTTTTTATTATTATTTACCGGTCCGGCCCACTTGGGACTAGATTTCCCTCAATGTGGCCCCTGAGCTAAAATGAGTTTGACACCCCTGCACTAAACTCAAGCATTTTATAGAGATGCAAAGAGTTCAACTAATACCTAACATCACAGAAATGACCTGGAATGAAATCCAGTGACACAACATTGGGCCAGAGTAAGTGCAAATTTTATTTTTGAACTGGGTGTTGGGGCTCTGCAATTGGCAGGAAATATGTGAAAATAAGAGCAGAGTATCTGCCGCGCCAGCTGAGACTGCTATTTGACACTGAACCTGGCAGTGGGATGGCAGTGAAAGACAGAAGGTTTTGAACATGATGTGCAGACTTGGACAAGCTGTCAGACATAAATGGATGGTTTGTTGTCATCAACAGTCTGCGGATCTCCCTAGTGGAGGAACAGGTCTGCAATCACAATGTCTGTGTGCTTGTATACAAGGACTCATTTAGTAGCACTGGGATGTAATACTGCATAATTGATGAACCAGGGGCACATGTGGATTGGGTGTATGTATCTCTGGCACGGGCATCAAACATGTTTTCTTTACTAATGAAGCCTGAAATATGTTCAGTGGAGTTTCAGACTGTTAAAGGATGCCTTTTTGTTATAATTAATGATTTTCTTCCCATTTTTTAGCCTGTTGTGGCTTATTTTAATGCTGCAGTGCATTTATTTATTTATTTATTTTGCATTCCCTTTTGCATCCTTCCTCAGGGTCCGTCTGTTTATTTAACTCCCACACACAAACAGACACTGAGAAAATGGAGACATGAGAGTATTAACAGCCAGGAAACAAAATGCTTACAGTATATTATAAGGTGCCATTAAGTGTAAACATACCTAAAGCAGTTTTTGGTTGCTGCTGCAGTTAACGCCATCAAAACTATTCCTCACAGAGCATCAGTGCAAACGCATACTTAAAACCCTGAGGATGAGTTTATGTAGCAGCGCTGCAGAAATGCAGATTGCGTTGCTTATGAGGAGGAGGCATTTTGCAATTGAGGAAATCTTGATGACACACTAAAACCCAGTAGTGGGTGTATCAGACAGCCTTCATATCTAGCTTCCCTTCATTTGGCCAGTGAGATGCTGATTGTCAGTGGACTCATTTGGTCTCCTGCTCTTCCTACATGTTGTTCCCTTGTGTTGTCTGCCTTCTAATGAGATTCTCAGATACTTAAAGAAGCACTTCATGTAAGTAACCAAAAAAGACCGTGCTGATGATCCATCGATTTCCCGAGCTCCTTTTATTATAAACCAGTTGACATTTATTTGAAAAGAAGAGTGAAAATAAACAAAATCGTACATAATATTTAGGATGCACAAATTTTTAGTGAATTTTTTACCTTGCCATGTCATGGAGTTTGCATGTTCTCCCTGTGCATGCATAGATTGTCTCCGATTACTCCGGCTTCTGCCACAGTCTGAAAGTATGACAGTCAAGTTTACTGGTCTTTCTAAATTGTCCTTGTGTGTTAGCATGTGTGTGTGTGCATAGCTGTTTGTCTTGTGTGTCTCTGTGTTACCCTGCAATGGCCTGGCAATCTGTCCGGGGTGTACCCCACCTGTTTGCCCAGAGACTGCTGGAGACGGACACCAGCCCTCCACGACGCTGCATGGACAAGCGATGGAGGTCATGGAGTGTGCAGAATTCATAAGGTTTCCTACATAAGTCTAACGTTCACACTTAAATTAAACAAACAAAAAAGAGAAAAATGTCATTGCTCATCGCAGCAATCATACATGCAGTTTCCAGTGACTCGTGATTTATATTAGCACAGCTTGTGGTCCATTGTAGTGTCCTGTCTTTAAAGGTCTTTATAGTAAGTTTACAGAAAATATGTAATGGGGAACATGCTTCAACACAAGCAGTTGTTTTCCGCTTGTGCTCAACCAGTGTCTATTTAATGTAGCGTAATATTGTTTTTGGATGGTAAAAAGTGCAAGGGACAAAAAATGGCTTTGGAAAAAGCGGGGTGGACCCCCCCCCCCCCCCAACAAAATACATCTGTGATTGCAACTAAAGCCTGATTCATGCTTCTGCATCTGCGTCAGTGCGGAGACACGCAACGCCATTATCCATCCTTGCGGGCCTGCTGGAGAGCCCCGCAAGGATGGACGGAGTCGAGCTCTCTTTTCTAAACATCCGTCCGTCGAGACGGAGAACGCAAGCTTGTAATTGGTCAGGGCACCGCAGTCATCTACATCGCCGCCATTGCACCCTCAAAAACATAAAGAGAGCCGAGGATAACTAGCGGCAGACACGGAGAAGCTTGAAGAATACCTCGCAAAAAACTCTAAAAATACGAACGTTTAATTCCCGTGACTGGAGGAGTGAAAAGATGTGCAGCAAGCGTTTTATTTGTGGACGGAAATGACAGGAAACGTGGGTTTAGAGGTGGCGAGCGCATGAAGAGGTGGAGGAGAATGAGAGACAAATTTGTCTGTGTTAAAAAGTCTCTTATATACAAAAAACACAATATAAACACACGATCTTGGACCGATACATGACAGGACACCACAGAACAGTGCTACGCCCTCTGTTGGGAGTAGCTGTGCAACACTCCCCAGGAGACGGAGAAGTATGAGAGCTAAACATCTCCGTCTGTGCGTGTCTCTTCCTGTTGGAGCTGACGGAGAAGCATGACTCGGGCTTTAGTGAGATGCTGGCGCTACTCTTGGAATAAAACAAAACTAAGAAATAAAATTTTGGTGATTTACTGGAAACATATGGAAACAATTCATCCTAATAATCATGACAACAACCTGAGGTGTTTAATTTGTCTTTGTGGCGTTTACTGTAGCCATGTTGACCACTTTAATAACAAGATACTATAAAACATCACAAAGTGAAGGCTGCCCGCTGAGTTCTGACCTGCAGGAACGTCCTGGTATGTATCTCATCATCACTCAGCAATGCCACACAACTTGGCTCTCTGCCAGTGCCCACTTACTTCCCCATAGCCCCCCAGCTGAACTTCCGCTCCCACAATGCTGCAATCAGAACTTTGGCAAGCCTCCTAGTGTCTTGCATTACACAGCGATTCGCTCCCTTAAGTACAGCAGTCATGCATTTTTCCAACTGGAGTTTCTTTGGTCTGTGTGGACACATTTAATGGCCTGTTTTAACTCTAAGGTCTGCACAGTTTCTCATTTTAATTCCACATGTTATGTTATTTGGTGTTCTGTTGCCATGCATGTTCGCCCCAGCTCTGACACAGCTTGAGTGCTCTGAAGTAAACCGGATCGGTTTAGTTTCCATTTGAGATGGGATGCAACGTCCTCCTTGCCTGGTCTGAGTCCTGTCAGGGCTGTGAAGAGGCACAGCTCAAGCAGACTGCAGCAATACTGCAATATATACATGCTCGGAGAGAAAGAGACCAAGGGATCTACCTCACCACTGCAGCTGTTTCTCTTTCTCGGTGCTGTAGAGTAGAATTAAGACAAGACTGGACTGTAGAAGATCTGTTCTGAGTAAAAATCTGAGATGTGGAGACGAGTGGGTACAGAAGAGGATTGACTGTGAGGAGAGAATGCTCTGAAATGTGGATATGAGGGACTGAATGTTGGGTGAAAACGTCCCGTGGGTGAAACAAAAGCTGTACACTGAGAAATAGAAAGCGGGAGAAATAGGAAAGCTGTAACAGAGAGTAATCTTTACAGATGACAGTCTTTTAGATTATCCTTTGGGCTGTGTGAGCTCAGCAGAGTCGGCGGTGCCTTCGCTCCCAGATAGGCACACACAGGCCGGAGAAGCGCTGGTAAAACTCGTCTTTGAATCTCAAGGCCTAGGAAAAGCGATCAATAGCCTGTCAGTTCTATAAACGAAGGAGTGATGCCTTCATTTCCCCCGGACGTGCTTCGTTCCACGTCCTGTCATTTCAATTTTACTGTCCCCTTCCTGAAACGGCACATGGAACAGAGACTAAGTATGCTTATGTCTCAATTTATCAATTTGTGCAAGAGAAGACGGAGTGTGGTCATGCTTTCTGCAGTCTGCTGAGAAAAAGAAATTATTTATCTACGTGCTGTAAGCCTCACAAAAAGGTCAAATAAAATTGTTACACTCATTTGAGTTTGTAAGACTTTAAGGATCTCTGTGGAAATAATTTAGTTTTTATATGTGATCGTCTGTCAGTTGCCATCCATTTTCATAACTGCCTACATTTTTCTTTCCATTTTATTATCACTTATATCTATTTTACACACGTTTCATGTAAAAAAAGTGCTGCTGAAGCCAAGTTACGTACGACCGTATCCTCAGGCTTGTCCAGCAGTGCTTCCGTTTTTGAATTCTCTCGATTCCCGTTTTCAGCTGACTTGACGGCGATCGCCGAGGCTGGCTGACGCCGCCTCGTCCACAGCTGTGCGTGCTCTGTAGACGCCACAGCTGCAGGGCTCTGCTCCGTCCCAAGAGAGAAATTATACCCCGTTACCACACACAGCTCAGGAGCAGCCTTTCAACGCCTCGCCCTCTGCTGCACCTTTCATTTAAAACGAGGATCTTTTGTTTTTTGTGGCTCTAACTGCACGGCCACGTGTTTTGCTTCCAGTCTCAGAGGAGGAGGTGTCCCTCTGAGTGTGAATGTTTATTTCTGTGTGGTTCCTGTTTTGTCTCCGATGGATTTGTGGTGGAATGCCAAGGTTGGTTGTCAGATTTTGAGGAACTGTTTTGAAACGCTAACACACTTCCAGAGTGAGCAGCTTCGGCCTGTTCATCATGCACAGCAGAACGCCGTGCAGACGCCTCGAGATAACTCCCCATCATCATCATCATCATCATCATCGAGATTGCCTCACAGATAAACGTCACGTGCTTCACATCTGTTAAATGTAGCTCACATGGAGCGAGTGATCACATCTCAGGCTGGATTGGTGTGTGTTTGTAGCTGCAGGACAATTAAAAACTTACTGTATGACCAAAATCTTTCCTCTGAGCTCACAGCGGAAAACGAGTTCAGTCGTTCTGCTAAATACTTGCTGACAGCCATCTTGGTTTTTTCTTCCTCCCTGCTGCCACTGTTTAGGATTGGCTGTCCAGTTGGCTCTTCATGGTTCCCCAGGGAAGAGGAAGGAAGCAAGCATGAAATGATGAGGAGTAATGATGTAATCTAATTATGTTAGACTTGTTGTACGTCAGCGGGACCCTGATTAATTCGATTTGCAGACAGGAGGAACCAACGGTCCCGTGTTTTTGATGGCCGTGCCAGTTTTACTTCATTCTACTTTTGTCTCTTCCCCATATTGATCGCTTTTGATTTCATTATTTAATTTCCCATTTTCATAGATGCTTTTACGCTCCTAAACCTCGATTTATTTGTTCTGTTTTTATTACAATTCCGACCAAAGGTTCTGAGTTTGTTTCTATAAAGTAAACAATAGAAAAATAGGTATTTTATTGATACCAGTTGCTGTTCATTTATTTATTTGAGTTCCAGTGTAGATGCAGCTGCACCTTCGCTTGATAAAATACCAGTTTTGTAAGTGTTTACCCAGTTGAAACACGTCTAGAATCCTGTATTAGAATTGTAATAAAACAGAACAATCAACTTAAGGTGGAAAGCGGGATTTAGTCTGCATTCAGCTTTTTTATGGGAATAGTTTGTCTACTTGCTCAACATTTTGTCGTTAATCTTAACATATTTAGTTATTTTTCTTTTTATTGTTTTGTTTTGAGGCTCTAAAGCTGTCTGGTACCTGTTAACTTCTACTTTAATAAAAACTAAAACATCCAGTCGTCGTCTCGTCGTCGTCTTCCTCCGCTTATCCGGGTCCGGGTCGCGGGGGCAGCAACCCAACTAGGGAGCTCCAGGCCGTCCTCTCCCCGGCCACCTCCACCAGCTCCTCCGGCAGGACCCCAAGGTTTTCCCGGACCAGATTGGAGATGTAACCTCTCCAACGTGTCCTGGGTCGACCCGGGGGCCTCCTGCCTGCAGGACATGCTCGAAACACCTCCCCAGGGAGGCGTCCAGGAGGCATCCTGACCAGATGCCCAAACCACCTCAACTGGCTCCTTTCGATTCGGAGGAGCAGCGGTTCTACTCCAAGTCCCTCCCGAATGTCCGAGCTCCTCACCCTATCTCTAAGGCTGAGCCCGGCCACCCTACGGAGGAAACTCATTTCGGCCACTTGTATCCGCGATCTCGTTCTGTCGGTCATTACCCAAAGCTCATGACCATAGGTGAGGATTGGGACGTAGATCGACCGGTAAATCGAGAGCCTGGCTTTCTGGCTCAGCTCCCTCTTCACCACGACAGATCGGTTCAGCGTCCGCATCACTGCAGACGCCGAACCAATCCACCTGTCGATCTCCCGATCCCTCCTACCCTCACTCGTGAACAAGACCCCGAGATACTTAAACTCCTCCACTTGAGGTAGGACCTCTCCCCCGACCCGGAGTTGGCAAGCCACCCTTTTCCGGTCGAGAACCATGGTCTCAGATTTGGAGGTGCTGATCCTCATCCAGTCGTATTTTCTTTAACCTTTTCCAGTTCCATGTCTTAAATATTCCATCCTTGATGGAAAAGGAAAACGACAACTCTGTCTAGTAATGATCCTACATGCAGCTTCTTGCTGTGTGTAGCTTACAAAACACTTCCAACTATCTGAGAATGTGGACAAATGCTCCTTTCTGCACCAAAGGAACGGTTGTCCTACTGCACATTTCTGCTACTGCCTTTACAACAGATCATTCCTCAGACTGGAATGGAAATGAAAATTGCAGCCTTTCCCTCGTAAGTCAAACGGCAAGAAAAGTGACCCCTCTTGTGCAAGATTGAGGCGCTAAATCAGCCTGCAGACGTCTTCTACCCCTCTAGCCTGAAGACGCTCACCGAGAACCATCATTCATGCTCGCCAGCGAGCGCTTTGATATTCTGTGTACCTTCCCTCGGCCATGCAGCTGTGAGCACATGTGTTTGTTTGTTTTTTTGTTTGCGGTAGAATATTTGATCTCAGTGTCTGACAAAGATCGCATAAAAATGTAATAGGAAA